GGTAGGGCAGATGTTATGCTTCAAAAGGTCTCAAGAATGTTTCAGCTAGCCCAAGTGATACTCAGTGGTAAAAACGTTTTTGTAATTTACTACGTTAATTCGTGTTCTACCAAGGTGCTGAGTGGAATCACGCTAACCAAATTTTCTGGAATCTTAGTGCTTTACTTCTCAAAGTCTCAAATATTTCAGGTATGTTTGTAAACTCCATTCTTCATTAAGATGTGTACATCTCTGTTAGTTGATCTTTAATATACTCAAAGAGTTTATGTCACAGTTGATTACATCTTGAAAAAGTTGGCGTCAGTTTTCCGATTATCTCGTTCATTATCCGTCTCTGTCCATCTCTGTTCTTTTTATGGTTTACTATCACCTCTGACTCTTTGCTACCCAAATAGAGTTATTTTTAATTGATGATTCAAAGATGCATCGCCACCAGAATGGCCTCAAACAGTTCGACGTGCCGTTAGAGTCGTTGTGCCCTTTTGGTTTATAGTGTGCTCGACTCTGCGCCGAGCAGTCTGGGTTCGAACCCTGGCCAGGTCACTGTGTTGTGGTCTGGCGAGGGGCACTTGTACTCCCGTAATGCCTCACTCGTGTAGACACTGTCGAATGGTGTCAGGGTGGGTGGGGGATGTGTTTATGTGGGTGGGTGTAGTGATATTTCAAGTTGAGCTATAGGATATACTGCGCTTTTCAAAGACTTTAAAATCATGCGGATTGAAAACCATACTTACAACCGACGATTACATTTTTACTTGTGCACTACATGTGCTATAGTAAGGCAACAATCAGCGAACCTCGCAAAATTAAGGGGAAAAAAATGGTGGATCAAAATGGAACAATTACAGCTTCTAGATGTGACCTTTCAGACCGGTTGAAATGGACCTCTGTTTCCTGAGCGGTCAGCTAGGATTATTAACGGCAGTTGATTACGCGACAGTCGGTTGATAGGTCCTCTTGATTATGAAAAGTGCAATGCAACATGTCCTGTAGCTCTCTCGTTCGTTTCGTTTGTATTCGTAAACCAGGCTCTCCCGTCAAGTTAGTATCTTACCTTCATTTACATACGCGGTCAGGTAATGCGAGATCAGGAAACACACAAAAAATTAGATCTGGATCGACTTCCGAGCGCTCGCCGAAAATGTACAACAAGGTGCGAACGATCTCCGAAGATTTCTCAGTTCCAGACCTCGCATACTTGACAACAGCAAACAAAGGAAGTGGTGTGATCGAGTCTACTCATCCTTCCTTCTCTGTTCTTCCTAATCCTTCCTTAGTACACCTAGATTAACGTTGAGTTCTGTCACTGCACACTTCAAAGTAGATGATAACTTCACACAAGAGCTCAGTTTGGTTTGTAGTTCTGTCATACTCTGCCAATATCCATACGTCTTGTTGTCACGAGAATTCAGCTCCAAAACATACCAGGTTCTTTTCTTTGTTTTATTTTTTCAGGTTTTCTACTTCCGTATGTATGTTGGCATAGTTATTTTAGGTGCTCTCCACGGGCTGTTATTCCTGCCGGTCCTTTTAAGTTACGCCGGCCCAGCGCCCCGTAAAGTGGCCCCCATCGACGCGTCAGATAGTTCCTCAACCAATTCTGAGCGAGCTCCGTTAGTAAGCGCGTAAAGACTAACCTAACCTTATATTAACCCTCTCATTACTTAGGTCTTCTACTTTCGCATGTATCTTGGAGTCGTGTTGATCGGAGCGCTGCATGGACTGATTTTTCTACCTGTGCTTCTAAGTTACGTCGGACCGCTGTCGTCCAGGTCGGTAACACTGGTCGACGAATCTTCCATGAGACCTCATTTCTTAGAAGGTACAGAGGAGAGGCGACCGCTCCTTGGCCAAGACCGCACGACAATTCAATGAAATTACAATGTTAATAAATTATGGGACATAAATGATCCATTGTGCCGGGCTATTAACGTTTAAAATAATATCTAATCAAATTAAATGCGAAAAAAAAAAAAAAACAATAAAGAATTGTATACTAGGAAAAGACGCGTAAAATTTTGTAAGTGGTTTTTGCTGAAGTGTAGTGTTAACTCTGTTGGACTTGTTAGTTAAAGAAATAAAGCTGCTGGCCTTTTATCGCTCTTGTTTTGTGTTCTTTTGTAACAGTACAATTAGTTTCCTTAAGGCTGGTAAATTTCACTAGCGACGGAGTCGTAGTCGGAATCGCAAGAGAGGTCATGACCCGGTGAAAATCGAAAACCGGAGTCGTAAGCGGAGTCATAAGCTCGACGGAATTGGAGTCGGAAGAATCAGAACGTTTCCATTTCTTCCGATTTCTTTTACGACTCCGTCGCTTATGATCCTGTGAAAACTAGGATGTCGGAGTCGGAAGCAGAAGCGGAAGAACCGACCAATCACAAGACTCGGAATCGAGCATTGCCATTGCTTTATTCTTCCGCCTCTGCTTGCGACACCGACAATGCAGCTTTCACTTAATCGTAAGCGACGGAATCGTAAGCGGAATCGGTGTTCTGCTTCTGACTCCGTCGGTTTGATTTTCATTAGATCGTATCGCTCTACGCTTCTGATTACGACTCCGACTAGACTCCGTCGTTAGTGAAAACCAGCCTTTAGTAATAAAGCTGAGCGCAGTGCAATTTGTAATGATATGGGTGCTTTCCATTATACCAGATCGACTGGTTAGAGACCAGTGGGCTACCCAAGGAAAAATAGCACGACATTTTCCGATCAAATTAAGGAATGGCTCGTACCATTTTTTATTCCTTTTCCGAATTCCCTCTGTAAGTGAAATCTACTGAAGAGAAGTAGGGCAATGAACCGAGCTTTTGAACGCAGCTGAGACAGTCGGAATCTCGGGCTTAGTGGAATCCAAATGGATCGGATTCTGCGCGAGATTGAAAGGAGCGGGGTGTGGGACAGAGAAAAAAGGACGGTTTGGGATCGCAAAAAAAGAGTAATTGCGTCTGGAAAACAAATTCTAATTGTAGGCGGGGAAGAACTGTGTTCAAACGGGAACCTGTCTTGGGAAAGGGAAATAATTGGTTACCATGGGCAAAACTCACCTTTTGAGTCTGACGTAACGAAAATTCCGAAGTTCGCGTTATTAATAGTGTAATATTCTACCCTGGATATTATTATTAATGACATGGTTATAAGTTATGTAAAACTGCTCTGGCCAGGGACAAGCCTAAGTCCATGCGAAAATAGAAGCGGGCAAGTAGATCAAGCCCGACTTACTCGTTGGGTGGGAGGATGCATGGGTCACCAACCTCTTCGCTTTCGCGGCCTCGAGTAGAGTGATGGGGTGGATCACGCGTACATTCTTCTATACTGTCATTTACATAATCCCCAGGGTATTAATTACCAATGCAAATGGTGCATGGGCAATCGTATGAAAGCATGTACAATTGGGGATTTCTATTGCGAGTGATAGATATTTGCACAAGTGTACGGGCTGTGGAGTGGACAGAACCCCAGCTTCAAAAACTAATAAAATTTTTCGGACAATAGCATTCTGGAGAAAACATTGCAAAAGTTATGTATGCTTGTCATTGAGGCTACTTCCTCTGAAACTTGCCTTGCCAAAACGGGCTTGAGTTAAAAAATATGAAGGATCTGGGTTGACTCATTAGACAGTATCATTTCCTTTCCCAATTTCCAATCAACATCGATCGAAGACCAGCACTTCCGTTTTCGCGGTGGTTCTCAAAAAAGCCACAAAGAGCCGTTTTAAATTTTATTTTTCTTGAAGTTTTTGTACGAGGAAGAAATAATTTTTTCTTTTACATAAGTTTCCAATTTTATCTGATCGTGTAAGCTGTCGATCGAGGACATAGATGGCCTGAAATGTAAGCCATCTCCCACCCTTAGCCTGATCTCGTCCTGTGAATAGGTTGAGGGCGGGAGATCACTTTCAGGCTAGGTCATAGCCTCCTGGCCTGATTCTGTTTTTTTTTTTTTTTTCTTTTTTTAAATCCTTGCCCTTTTCCTTTCCTTTTTCTCGCCTCTTTTACTCAGGCTAGCTTTTGCTCTTCATATCCTTTCTGACAGCCGTAAAAAGTTTGGCGTTGATTATGTTTAAAGCCTGGAAATGGAACCTTGATCGATTTTAGGTGTAATGGACCATTTTACCACCGATTTGGCACCAAAAACTGCTTACGTTCTTTTTTTTTTTTTTCAATTAGCTACGTCAGAATGCGGTTGATTTCCATAACGGACAGTTGTGCGGATAGATCTATCCTAGCTCCAGTATATGCTTATCAAGGATATCTATTGACGCCTACATTAATTGCGTCACAAGTGTTACAAAGTGCATGACCCCTCAATCGTAAGACAACGTACGATTGCCATGCAGTACCGCGACCCAGAGGGCAACGCCTAGTAAAAAATGAATTTATCTTTTACCTTCAAATTTCTCAATTGTCTAGTTCTGTTCGGTGCGCCTGTTGGTCCTGAGAACTTGCTCAAGCTCGTTTATAACGCACGTGCACAGCCATTGTACTACTCATTAAACCTNATCCTTTCTGACAGCCGTAAAAAGGTTGGTGTTGATTATGTTTAAAGCCTGGAAATGGAACTTTGATCGAATTTAGGTCTTACTAATGGACCATTTTACCACCAGTTTGGCACAAAAACTACTCACGTTTTCTTTTTCTTTTTCTTTTTTTTTTTGTCTTTTTTTTTCAATTAACTATGTAAGAATGCGGTTGACCGCGACCCCGAGGGCAACCCCTAGTAAAAAATGAATTTATCTTTTACCTTCGAATTTCGCAATAGTCTAGTTCTGTTCAGTGCGCCTATTGGTCCTGAGAACTAGCTCAAACTCGTTTATAACGCACGTGCACAGCCATTGTTCTACTCATTAAACCTTTTGTGTGGTGATGTTCTCGCTACGGTTTTCGACGCCATCTTGCGGGTAGGCAAAGCGGTCAGAAATTACAGTGTTCGTATGGGAATTGGATGGCAAATAGCTTTTTTTAAATACCGAATTTTGCACAACTTATGAATCGCAACTTTACCACACTAGGTTGTAGATTGTGTTCATCAAATTAGAAGACGCTCGGTTGATTTTTAATTTCCTATAATTTTTTTTCTCGAACCGCGTCCACCCAGCCAAATTTGTAGACAAATATACGCAAAAAATTAACTGAGCGTCTTCTAGCCGAGCTACGACCTTCAGACTTGGTGAATACAATCTTCTACCTAGTATATTAACGTTGCAGTTCACAAATTGTGTAAAATTCAATTTTTGAAAAAGCTATTTTCCATCGGATTCCCATACGAACACTGTAATTTCTGAACGCCTCGCCCACTCGGAAAGATTGCGTCTAAAATCGTGATTAGGCATATTGTCTCTAAAAGACCCGACTGTAATAGCAAACATCTTCGAAAAGATCAAGAACAACTGAAATTACAGGTTTCTCCCAATCACTGTGGTGTTCCAAAACAGAATTGACTCCCTTTAGAGTCAGTTCCCCATTCCGTGAAAAATAAACGGAATAAAAATAGTCATTTCTTTTAAGCTTTCCCGCGGCGCAACAAAATTTGTTACAAAACTAACATGTGTCATTAATGTCCAGTTTAGCAAAATATTTTTTGAAAAGACGGGTGGTCATCGTGTAAACCTCTAATTTCTTTCGTTAATGATCAAGAACCTTTTGCAAAAGCTAAATAGCGCCGATATTTGAATAACAAAACTTACACACCCTGAGCCTCACATTGTTATTCAAATGTAGGCGCCAGTTATGCAAAGGTTCTATTAGTCATTATATCTTGGCTTATAACTCCTTGTGCTAGCTGTGAAACAGGAAAAAAACCGCCTATCTAAACTTACAAAGGCTTATTTCCCTCCTTTAATCCTAAAGTCAGTTTCATTTGTTTCTTTGTATTTTTTGTTCTGTCTTTGCGACATTTCGCTAATAATAAATTACAATTCGGTGCCTAACTTACAATATGTTATATACAATAACCTACTAAAGCCAGTTTCATAGTTTTGCATGTATTCAGTCAACTGTTTTTGGGCCTGGTCCATAAGCTTTAATCTTTTCTTGAATTGACTGGTTTGAGCTATCAAAAAGGAAATGTAGAGGAACATAGCAATTTTCACCGTTTTTTTTTTTTTTTTTTT